CTTGAAAACTGTACTATATTTCTTCACCAAACTTGGCACATAATGTATTCTCACAGTATTGAATACATTTCCTTTCTTGTTGGTAAGTTCTGGATTGCTTGAGTGTATGTTCCTCCAAAAGTGTCATGGACACAGTTGTTGCATTCACTGATGATAACAAACTTCATGCAGAAACACAACTCATTATAAATACAACAGTGTAACTGATCTTAAACCTACTCAACTGTATAAACACTATATATTCTTGTCAACCATACTCTGTACTTCACTTGCTTGATAACGGTGTCAGAACCTACACTGAAACCATCACTCCTAATTGTAATAAAGAAGTTGTTCGTCCATATGTCTCATCCTTACTCATTACAAATTCAGTTACATATTCTATCATAAACTGCAGATGGCAAAACAACACCAGTAATAACTTTTTTTAGTGCTGCAATTAGGCCATTTACAAAAAGGCCCAGTGAACATAGTTCACAGGAGCTAATGCATTGCACACAACTGGACATGTCATATTGGCGGGGGATGTGAGTATTTCATGCTTGTTATCAACTATAATCGCTGCGCCTATCGTACTTGGCATGGAAATAGCTGCCAGAGTCTCCGGACTGGCAGGAATAACTATAAAATTTCTTTCTCATAAGTTGCAAAAGAAAGCATTAAAACATGATAATATTCGGATACTCGCCGAAGCAAAGTTGAAAAGCATTGAGGACCATATTTCAACAGCAATGGCTGATTGTAAGATATCTGAGGAGGAGTTTCATTTAGTGTTATCAGAACTCACCAAATACAACGCAATGAAGCAGGAGATTCGATCAAATTCTCGTAAGACCAGTGGTATTAGCGAAGATGAGAAAAAAAAGTTCATAGAACAGGGGAGACAACAAGCGCGTCAATTATTCCGTGCCAAAACCAAAGAACTGGTTGGAGATTAAAAATAGATTGCTTACTATCATTAGATCGCACCGCATAAAATCATACATTCATTTAGACAATTGCTTACATAAGTATATAATAATGGAGAATTACAAACCAACAAAGGAAGAACTCGAAAAAGCTATCGAAGCATTTATGCTCAGGGACAAAATTATCAAATGCAGAAAATTACCGCAAGGTATATATTATATCAATGATGTCAAACCAACCAAATACGGTCATCAATTGTTTCTTTCCAATTACCAAGAAGAGTATATAGTCTGGTCTCCTAGTAAAATGAACGAAGAACTTAGTAAAAATGTTGAATATCACTTTGTTAAAAATAATGGTATGCATATTAGTAAAAATAATAGAGAATATTTTCATTACAATTTAGTTTAGTTTCATCATTGTTTTTGTACTAATGGTATCATTGATTGGCTCAAGGTAGTGGTGAGCTAGAGCCAATTTAACATAATCTCATGACGATCGTTGAATCGCATAGTCATTTACACATAAAAAATGCCACCTGTAGTGGTGGTATAGGTATATAAATCTGGCTCCAGTGGGGTTGCGGCAGAACCCCCATCACCTATACTACTTCCGTCCAAAGTAACCTCAACAACTTTCAACATGGTACTAAAGGGCTTGGATGGCTGATCAAGATATACTTGTGCAGACAAGGAAGAGTTCTTTGAAAACATCACCTTCTGTGCAGTCATATGCCTGCATGCATCATGCAGGGCAGTAAGATGCAACTCGGTACATAGTTGACATGGTGTCTTTAGGTTACAGTCCTCTGGTTTATGTTTTCTTGCACATCGAAACCATCGATCTCTCAACCAAGATTCAACTTCCAGATCAGAAAGCTTCTTAAACTCTGGGCATGTATTAAGAAAATGATCAGATGATATACATTTAGGACAGTAGACCTTGTACTTTGGTTTGACCTTGAGCTATTGACCCTGTTGTCTGCCATTTGAAGCATTTTGCTGAGTGTAGAATGTTGATGCAGAACTTGTTTCCTTACTTTGTTGGCTAGAGACAACTGTATGTCGACTTCATGGAGTCACTCCTAGGCACTGCTTGATGAGATAATCTCTTGGTCCTTGATTTTAGCTGTAACCACTGGTCAAGATGGGTCAAATTGTATGTTGCATTAGAACCAGAATCATACAGTCCCTGTTTGATACAGTACTTTATAAAGTTGTCACGCATCTCATGTGGAAGCTTGGTGATCAGAGTTGACACATGTGAAGCACAATACAGTTCAGCTCCACTCTGCATGGATTTCAACATCCCAACTAACAACTGTATACGTAAGGCAAAGTTCTCAAAGGCATCATAATCTTCAAACCTAATTGGTAGACTGTTAAGCAAGGCACTTGTCTCACTCTGAATCAGTTGGCCCACACTGCCACATGTGCGTAGCAGCTCCTGCACAGCTTTTGTGTAAGGAGTAGGATGAAACATGAAGGCCTCAGCAAGCTGTCATGGTTTATTACCAAGTTTATCCAATAATAGTTGATACTTGTAAGATTCAGTCAGGTGTGGATGAACATCAACTAATGTCTCAAGTGCAATCTTCAGTAAGATAAAGTCTCGTTCCTTACAACTATTGAATTCTGGTAGAGTAGGTTTAGGAATTCCATACACAGATGAAATCAGCATTGCATTCATTGGCAATTCAACACTGGGAACATCTGAAGCAAGTGTGGGCTGAGGTACAATGGCAGGTGATTGATTGACATGGGAATCCTTATTCTGTCTAGGTGCAAACACATCAGCACTTGGACGGAGAGTGTGATTATGGTCTACATATGAATGTTCAATTTCACGCTTGATATGTCTATCAGTGGTTGGTTCACCTTGGTCACTAAACTGCGTTGGGTATGTTACCTCAGTGTTAAGTTCCCTGGGATAGGATGTCTCACTGACTACTGGCTCCTTTATCCTATCACCACGGTCAATCATTGATGAAATTAACTTTGCTTCTTTATACCTATTCTCAGCTTATCTTAAGTTTCTTTCTTTAGCAACCTGTGACAACCTACTTTCCTTCTCTTTCTTGATACTCCTCTCCAATCTCTCTTCTCTAGCTCATGTCTTGTTTCAGATGCTTCATCCTCCATATGCTTAATGTGAACAGCGATATCTCTATCTTCTTCTAAGTTAACGTTTATGTTTTACTGCCTCAAGTTCAGCAGTTTGCTTATCAATTAGTCTTGACAAAACGGAAGAACTAGTAGAATGTGCACTTCCCACACTTATTTCCGATCGTGTGGTCATTATTTCATCAAGTTCATGATTCTTGCCAACTACATAATCTGACAAATAGGCAGGTGGTCGTCTGCGCCTGAACGAAAACCGGATGGAGTGTCCGTCTTGCGAACGCGACCGTGTTTCACCGGGCATATCAGTGTCATCACTGTCCAAGTTCATAATAAGGCACAATACTCACATATCTGGGTTGTGGGACCATGAAAAGAAGACGAAGAAGTCCTCGGCAGTTATTCAGACCATTTAATGGCAGTCTATCATTTCATTGTCATCGGCAAGGCATAGCAGTTTGTCAACAACACGGACAGCACATGGTTACATTAAAAAATATGAATCGGGTGCATACAACTGTCAAACCAGAACGGAACAGCAGACAAACGAAATCACACCCCACGACACAGCATCAGCAATAGGCGAACAGCCTTACTATTCTTACTATTATTGAACAGCATTCATTCATTACTTTATGACAACTATTGTTTTATTGCTCAATGACGCAGTACTTTTGCTAAGACTTTGTCAGGTGAAACAGAATGGTCTTCACATTTCAGAAGTTCAAAAACACGATGCACTGCATACAAGAAAATTATTTTGCGTTAACTGAATTCTTGTAATGCTGCATGGAGCTATCGAAATGTTCATTGCAATCAGAAAAAAAGTGGCAATAAGAAAATGGCGTAGCAAATGTCAATCAAGTTATTTATTTTTGTGTCTATTGCGACCTCTGAATTGTTGATTGTAAACAAATTGAAATTTAGGTTGCATTGGCAAACGTTTTAGCCACAACTTTTGAGGCCTGTGTTTGTTTACAAACAAGAGAAAAAAGCGGTTACATGATAAGCCTCCACCCGTGTTGTGGTCACTGGAACAGAACATTCTGTTGCAGAATAAATCGAGCAGAGCCGAGAAAGTCTGGGATTTTCGTCTTTAGTTTACAGGGGACACGGGTGGCCCAGTTGTCTAAGGCGCCGCGATTCGCTGTGCAGAGTTGCATCCCTTGGGCACGCCAGAAACCTGTGATTGTGGGTTCTAATCCCGGTTCGCCCCAATTATGTTTCTAGGTTTGTCAGCACCATACCTGTGCTCGTGGGTTTCACCGAAGTGGTAAACGTCTGAGACCTGCATCACTTCAGGCTTTCCTCCCACATTAAGCTGACACGCCGTGATATAACTGGAATACTGTTAAAAGCGGCGTTAAACCCAACTCACTCACTCACTCTTTAGTTTACAAACAAACCTTCAGAACGGTCAACGTCCTCAACCTGTAAGTTCATCAATTTCTATGGAGTGCAGTTAAGTTTGATAATTCACTGGGTACTCATCTAGTTGTGAAACAATCACAAAGTTCTGCCACGCCTGTTTCCATGTTCTCCAATCATCTGCCAAATCACCCAACATTTTCAGTGGCGGTGGAGGTGTCAAATTAGGCAACAGCATTCTCTGACCATGTGGTATCTGAACACCCACGTGCTCATTATGTCCACCTTCTTCCTGACCATCCATAATGTTAATGAGTTATTAAATTGAGTGTGAATATCGTGTGATATGTCCATTCATTCACCATTCTGCATGCATATTTCGTGGTCGTAAAAACGAAATATGAACCCACTGAAACGTTTGATATCACTTCTATCAATGATAGAAGTGCCAAGGAAGAATACAACAAAGATAAATGAGATTTTATTGCAATTTAAAAAAGTCATATTTTAAAAAATCATTTTGATTTCACTGTCATTTCATCAGTTCGTGTATATTTTGTCAGTGGCTTAATACTTCTCCAACCACTATTTCCTTTATTGTAGACACCTCAGCCTCACAGAGCAAAAGCAGCTGTTTTGAAAGCACCACCTAAATCAGCACCACCTTCCAAGAGAAAGACATGTTCTACCACAGAGAGTGACAAGGTATTGACAACACACATATAAGCATTTTGTCAACAAATTTTTTGAAATACTTCAATTATGTAGTAAAACCTTACAACCTCTTATCATCACCCTCTGTGATCATGGCCTTTTGTCCATCTATCTTCTGTCTGTTGTCCCTCTACCTCCTGTCTGTTGTCCGTTAACTTTTTTTCTCCTAAAACAGACTAAAGGGATGAGCCTTAAACCTAACGAGCATGTCTGACATCACACTAAATTTCTATCATTGTTCTAAAATATACACCGTAGTTTCTTCAGAAAGATCTGTGTAAACTAAATCAAAGGTAAACACTGAAATGATATGTGAACAAAAAGTTGGTACCGTATATCGCTGTGTATGAGACGGGTTTTTCGTACGTAGAATGAGGGGGCTTTCAATGGTGGTCATTTTATACACAGGGTTGAAGAGTTATTTTTCCCCTACACAAAGACATTACTGTGAGCATGTAACACCGGAAATACAATGTCAACAAATCTATACTGAAGTATGCAAATTAATCATGTAATTACACCGTCCGGTTATAAAAAGAGTTCATTATGTATCTGGACTGATGTTTGTAATCTATTTTATTAATTTTATTCAAAACTTTATTCAATGTTGTTTATATTCATTTTGGAGAATTCGTATATGAAGTGATCGGAAGATCGCACAACTCACCTTTATTTACAGCAATCATGGTCATATTACCGCTATTGACACCTTGAAGCAAACTTTAGTGGATAGAGAATGGATATATATATCATAAATACTATACATTGACTCGCTGAAAGTCATAATTATTGTAACTTGACTACTATATTTCAACATAAAGTTTTCGCTATCGCGAATGCGGGAGCATTGGCGGTGATTGGTCAAATTGTTCCATACGACGAAATATCCGGCAATAGCAATCAGCTGGCCCAAAGTGCTATGCTTATTAATTTATTTCAAATATATATGATAAAGCTGAACTCAAATAACATGATTTTGGAATAAATTATTCCTGATAAAATAACGGATTCAGATAGAATTCTTCCGATCATTGTATCAAAATTCTTTAAAGTTATATTAGTGGGTAATTTTTAACTGACTCACCGGAAGATTCCGAGAGTCGTGTGTACAGCTGATGGCTACTAGCGACTTAGTTTATGAGAAAATACAGACGGTTAATCTTGATCTCTGCATATACAACAATGCCTATCAGAACACAAAATACAATTTAATCGGTAAATCATCATGTCTAGTTTTTCTTCTTCTCAAATTTCAAATTTGTCTTGACTTGTTTCCCTGAATTTGTTCAAGGCATATGATGTATATTTTGGAAGACAAACACTTTCTATAGCAAATGTAGGGATTGTGTATGCGCTGGTGACATGCTTCATTCCGATAGACGAGGCATATGAATTAGCTTGTACAGAGGGGTCACCTTATACATGGGGTTGCTTTATAGACGGCGATATACGGTAGCAACTATCTGGTAAATTATTTAAATTTCACTCAAATTTCTTTCAAAATTCATGTCGCAGCATTGTTGTTTCATTGTTTTACTGTATTACGAACTTTTGTCAACATATTATATTGACATGTAGCGCTCATTCCACACCATTCACATGCAGAATTCCTGCATTATTATCCCCGCCACGAAGTGGAAGGGGGATATAGGAATGGGTGCTGTCCGTCCGGCCGGCCGTCCGGCCGTCACATTTCGTTTCCGGAGCAGATCTTGAAAACTGTACCAGTTTTCTTCATCAAACTTGGCACACAGAAGGATCTTGTGGTGAACTGGTTCCTTTTGATAGTTTGGGATTTTTAAAAAAAATTTTTTTTGTGTTTCCATGGCAACGACTTTGATTTAGACTGAAAATGGCGGTAGTCCTCGTTTCCGGAGCAGATCTTGAAAACCCTACCAGTTTTCTTCACCACATTTGGCACATTGATAGGTCTAGTGGTAAACTGGTGCCTTTTGATAGTTCGGGATTTTTAAATTTTTTTTTCATTTTTTGAGTTTCCATGGCAACCACTTTGATTTAGACTGAAAATGGCAGTAGTCCTCGTTTCCAGAGCTGATCTTGAAAACCCTACCATATTTCTTCACCAAACTTGGCACATAGATAGGTCTTGTGGTGAACTGGTGTCTTTTGATAGTTTGGGATTTAACTTTTTTTTATTTTTTGAGTTTCCATGGCAACGACTTTGATTTAGACTGAAAATGGCGGTAGTCCTCGTTTCGGGAGCAGATCTTGAAAACCGTACCAGTTTTCTTCATCAAACTCGGCACATAGAAGGATCTTGTGGTGAACTGGTTCCTTTTGATAGTTTGGGATTTAATTTTTTTTAATTTTGAGTTTCCATGGCAACGACTTTGATTTAGACTGAAAATGGCAGTAGTCCTCGTTTCGTGAGCAGATCTTGAAAACCGTACCAGTTTTCTTCATCAAACTTGGCACATAGAAGGATCTTGTGGTGAACTGGTTCCTTTTGATAGTTTGGGATTTAAAAAAAAATTAATTTTTGAGTTTCAATGGCAACCACTTTGATTTAGACTGAAAATGGCGGTAGTCCTCGTTTCCAGAGCAGATCTTGAAAACCGTACCAGTTTTCTTCACCACATTTGGCACATTGATAGGTCTAGTGGTAAACTGGTGCCTTTTGATAGTTTGGGATTATTATTATTTTTATTTTTTTTGAGTTTCCATGGCAACCACTTTGATTTAGACTGAAAATGGTGGTAGTCCTCGTTTCCAGAGCTGATCTTGAAAACCCTACCATATTTCTTCACCAAACTTGGCACATAGATAGGTCTTGTGGTGAACTCGTGTCTTTTGATAGTTTGGGATTTAAAAAAATAAAAAAATTCGAGTTTCAATGGCAACCAAATTTGGCACATAATGTCATCTCACAGTATTGAATACATTTCCTTTTCTTGTTGGTAAGTTCTGGATTGCCTGAGTGTATGTTCCTCCAAAAGTGTCATGGACACAGTTGTTGCATTCACTGACTAACTTTATGCAGAAACACAACTCATTACAAATACAACAGTGTAACTGATCTTTAACCTACTCCAACTGTATAAACACTATATATTCTTGTCAACCATACTCTGTACTTCACTTTCTTGATAACGGTGTCAGAACCTACACTGAAACCATCACTCCTAATTGTAATAAAGAAGTTGTTTGTCCATATGTCTCATCCTTACTCATTACAAATTCAGTTACATATTCTATCATAATCTGCAGATGGCAAAACAACACCAGTAATAACTTTTTTAGTGCTGCAATTAGGCCATTTACAAAAAGGCCCAGTGAACATAGTTCACAGGAGCTAATGCATTGCACACAGCTGGACATGTCATATTGGCGGGGAATGTGAGTATTTCATGCTTGTTTGGAAAAGTCTCATGTTTTTAAACCGCTTGGGCTCTTTTATAGGTGCAATTTTATTTTTGTAATAACACTGAACAACATGGTTGCATTTTCTGATTTAATAAACAATAAAATTTATGTAATGATTACTTGTTTGCTTTGATCTGTTTTTAAATTAATACGTCAGAAGGCAGATTGAAGTTTCCATCGAAAAGTTTTTCACCTGAAATATTCCAATTTCAGGTAAAATATTCCACCAGAGCAATGGAATCTTTTCACAGAGATAGCACAATGTTGTGAAACAATTCTGAGGATCATATTAAAAAAATGCTAAATGTAGGTCATACAGGGTACACATTCATTATCTTTTACAACCAGATGCAACTAAGTGAATTAATCAGGTTTTACCATCAAAATATTGGCTCATGATTGGTTATCATGATTCGAAAAACTGTATATTTTTCAATTTATCCTGCATTACTCCTTAATGCATTTACTGCTTACTTTTGATGAAGCTGTGCGAGGTCTAGGCTGAAGAAAAAGTTGTTCTAACCAGTTGTGAAGCAGTAGCTGGCTTTGTAGTTAATTATAAATTATTACCGTCAGACGTTAGTTGGCTTAGCAGGTGTGTTTTAACGCTTGTTATTTGTAATAATAAATGTGAATTTTATATTTTTGTTTGTGCAATGATAATACCATCTATGTCATTATTATGCAGTTCATCTAGTAGTATCTCAACCCTAACTCTTCGACTTTTCCCCCCTTCCACTAGTATCTGCGGCTGCTACAGTGGGACATGGGGGCTATTACTAAGGGGCCTGGTTTGCTGAGAAATGGCTGGAGGAAGTGCTCCATTGTATGTCTGGTGATTTGTCTATGGCCTTCAAGGAACTCTACCCGATCGTTGTTGCGGGTATTATCTGGGGTCATCTCTGGGAGAAAAAGCGTGTGCTCTTTCATTGCGATAATCAGGCTACTGTTTTCATCATAAAGAAGGGTAGATCTAAGTGTAAAGGTATCATGTCCCTCATGGACAGCAGCAGTCAACAACTTTGTGGTACTAGCTCATCACGTTCCTATCTATCATGGCATCAAATGCTAATCCTGTGATGTATGGTATATCTGCAGTTATAATTGCATTTCTCACAATACATACAGCAACAGTGGTTTTTTTCCCATTGTTTGTCTTGCCTTCATCTGGAATCTGGATGACAATGGTGGTGTAAAAAATCGTGGTGATGGTTAAAAATATATTCAAGTGATAAAAGTAGATATTTTTTTTGTCTCATGTTTTCATTACCCAGTAGCAGTGTGTTTTGGCAAAGTCACACTTGTCTGAAAGCTCCTGATGCCGAAGTCACTTGATCCGTGAAACTTGGCGTGTCCCAGTTACTAGTATTCCCTGTTGATTGGCAGGCCAAATGTCATTTGCAAAACGCCATCCATATTTTTTGCATGCGTTTCTCCCCTCAAGCATCAGCTACTAATATTTTAGTGTATTTTTCAAACAAGTAAAGTTTGGTTTTCAATATTGTAGTACATGTATGAAATCAAGTCACAAAAATGCAACTGCTACAGAAAAGCATGCATTCCATGCAAAAGTTGACTTTTATGCACTACCCAAGAATGGGTATAAA